ATGCTGGGATCCGGAACGGTGCAGCTGGAGCGCTGTGCCCGCAATGACGTCACACATAATTTGGCGGGACTTGAAGAATCCCCGAGAAGATCCAGAAATGGTCAACATTGAAGGGCAGATTAATGGTTATCAAAGTACAAATATCCAAAATCAGTTCAGTAACGGTTTTCAAGGGGACAATATTTACTCAAATTGATGGGTTTGGATGATGGGGGAAAATCGTGTCACAGGCTCTTTAAGGGGAACTGGGAATATGTATCAGCTGCTTGTGTGACAGTCGGACAGTGAATACTTTAGAGCGGCCGCTGCAGTGTGAGCTAACCGGGAGCTAACGGGAGAATAAACTCCCGTGGAAGAGCAGCAAGCACTGCAGCGGTCGGTAAATGCCGCTGAAACACATTAATAAACAATGAATCACGGCACTCTGGAGAAAAGCATAAGGTTGGAGAAGTCGATATTTAATTTAATCTGGCTTCGTGTGATTAAAAGCAACACGATCAGCGACCCGACGCAGTCCCCCCATTGTTGTTGTTGTTGTGAGCGCCGTAACGCCGTTGGGGAGCGAATCAGCGATGTAAACGGTGATGTCATGACGCAGCAGCGGCAGCACCAGTCGAGTTCTGGGCGGTGTGAACAGAACGGGAGCAGAAAAGGGAAACCGGAGCTGAACCAGAAAAGCTCTAGCACGGAGCTAGAACGGGAAAAGCACTGGTGTGAAAGCCGCATCATAGGAATGAATGAGGCCCCGCCTCCCACGCTGTATCCAGTTCTTATTATACATCCATGGTTACAGTGCCTCACAGTGGTACAATACCAATATTACTTCCCCACAGTACAGAATAGACATAATCTTTCTAGAGCAGGGGTCGGCAACAGGCGGACCGCGGTCCGGATCCGGACCTGGACCTATAATCAATACATTAATAGGGGATTTCAATTTTGACAGGGCAATTCTATTTTAACCGCTGCCGACAGGGGGCGAAAGAGAGGAGTGAGCGATACAGGGAGAGAAACACAGAAGAAGAGATGAGAGCGCGGCAGAGAGAAGCGGAGAGGAAAGTGAGTGAAGAGAATAATTTGCGATACAGGGAGAGAAGACGGAGAGGAGAGTGAACAGGCGTGTTAGCGGCAGACAGGGAGAGACAAATAATTACACATGGCGCTCTCCAAGAAGAGGAAAGTGGACAGTGAGAACAGATCTTTTAACCCTGAGTGGACGGACTCATTCATGTTCATCCTGCCCACTGGGAGCACAGAGCCAGTGTGTCTCATTTGTTCAGAGACCGTGGCGCTCATTAAAAGTGCCAAAACGCCACTATGAGACAAAACACAAAGTGTTTGACCAAACATTCCCTCTCAAGTCAGAACTGAGCTCACAAAAAATAAGTAGTCTCAGAGCCCAATATGATCATTCGACCAGGATCAAAATTAAAACTAAATATTGTTCCACCCAGGGCAGGCTAACCGAGGCTAACCAATGAGCACCTGCATGTGTGTATGAGAATGGCCCTGACACCATTTCAGCCCAGATTTAAACTCCTGGCAGGACAAGCTGGAGCTCAATTCTCGCACTGAATTAAAAAAGAAGTGAGTGAGCAATATAAGAGGGAAAGAAAGAGAAACTTTTAAACTGTTCAATTGTTATGACGTGTAAAGACTGATATTATTCTATAATCGGCTGAAACTGTTAAGTCATGATGTGAAACGGTTAAAGAAAAAGGGAAACTCAAGCTGCTGCTACACTTTATTTTATTTATCTAAAATTAAGCACTTTTAAGATGCACACATTTTCAAAAGCTATTTTATTTATTTTATCTATTTTATCTTTAAATGCAGCCAGAGAGGAACATTACCCATATCCACAGTATTCACTGTATATCTGTATAGTTCAATGCTAATTGACAATCAATATTGTTGTTTTTGAATTGTACTTTCTTTATTTGATTGGCAGTCAGCTATTGATGACATGCAGACGTTGATAAAGCTACAGGCTACTTCAATATATATCACACTAATTCATTAAGCAAGTTAGACATTTTGATGTTCCGGACCTTTGCATGGGGAGATTTTCTCTAACTGGACCTTGTTGAATTTTAGTTGAATACCCCTGCTCTAGAGTCTATACATATAATAACTGAGGACATATGTAAACATTTCCCTTAACACCATGTGTTGAGCAAACCTAACATTTGCATACGCCTCAAGAAAAACTGTCCCTACAGTGAAGTATGGTGGGGGCTGCATGACGTAGGTTGTATCCATCATGTTGTATCGAGTGCTAGTCCTACCATTACAAAACCTAATCACCACTTCTGACTCTGAAATCATCCAGCAGTTTAAATCCAACTCTGACACAGAATGATTCAATTTGCTTCGATTAGCATTAAGAGCAAGTGCAATAAATAAACATTGCCAAGGAGTTTTAATACTGTTCCTCACATTTGTATTTAAGCAGCTTTTTTCATACCAGCCCAGATACAACCAAATAATTAGCACGTGTTTAAAACGCTGCCTGAAGACCACAGAGGATGCCGACCACAATTTAGAACATTTACAAGCAAAAAAAGATTAAATAAACAGGTATTATTCATCACAACCTGGCAACTATTGTGTTCCTATTGTTGACTTAATAAAGGGTGCCATATTAAATAGTAAAAAAAAACTAAAAAACAAGACAAGTGGATGCATATAAAATAATATTTATTGACTTATTCAAAATACTGTACATTATGTTGCATGAAGCAAATTAAGGATGCTAATAGGATACAATTAATCAGGTGTAAACAGGCTTGAAACGTTTCACTGTTAGGCTCTAATATTTGCCGGGGCCTCAGAAAAAGATTGTGTTAATGGATGGAGCAGTTAAGTCCCCGACTAATTTCATAAACACTAATGAGTACAGTCTCTTCAGAAGGAGGAAAAACAATAAACACATGCACAGGGGAAGCAAAACAGTTCAACAGCATACTGGAGACTCACTGTCCTGTTCCAGCATCTCCAGAACCAGGCCTCATGCAATTGTAGATGCTGAGACACCAGCATGTCACCACTATGGGAGACTGGGATTTCCCATGCACTTATGGGCACCAGTTACAATATGACCAATCAATAAAAGATTGGCAACCAAAAAAAAAAGAGAAATGCAGTTTAAAAACTTGACAAAAGCACTTTATAGGGAATTGAAAAAATAACAATATTCATACAAAACATTAGTCCATTAACTTAAACTGTTAGGTGCCAGAAAACTATGCCTTTCATACACCTGATCAAGTCATTGAAAAGCTTTCACCACCAGAGGTGACGTTGAGAATAACTGGAGCACAGAGGAAGCAGACACTGCTGTTCATCCGGCGGACACAGCAGGAGGCCGGCGCTCTGTGGGGACCGGAACAACTACCTCCTGTCTATCTGCATACGAACTTAAGTTAACAGGTCCGAAAAAAAACTAAAAATATTTCCTCCCTAAGCCAAAAGTCTGGGCACTTCGGTAGGCGTGTGTTCCTGAAGATAAACACCTGATGCAGAGGGGAGGAGGAGTTTAGCCATGGATCCATTTAACCAACAAACCAAGACTATCATGTGGCCTTCCCCAATGAACACATGTTGTTGCTAATCTAATACTGCTAGCCCCCCCCCCCTCATTCACGGTGAATTTGGTGCTGTGCCTAACAACCCTCAGATTTCTGACAGAGTGACGCGAAAGGATTCCGCAGAGCTCTCAACAGCTAGGATGAAGGTGTCCTCGTTGGAGTAGTGCTGGATCATGTTGTCGTCCATGTTCACCAGGACCCTGAGGGACAGGAAACACATCTCAGACCAGAGTCCCCGTTACTTTGAGGCAAAGTCTACAGTGAACAGCGCTTCTGAGGTCATCTGCATATCTATTCCATTTAATCCCATGAATGGTAATGTTGGTCTGTAGGTCGTTACATGAATTTGGTAAAGACTGAAATATGTCAATCACTTGGGAAAGATGGGACAGTATGAGAGTACAGCAATGAAATACTGTACGTAAATACAGGTTTGAGGTACATCACCTGGGACTACATATACTGCTACTCAATACTTCTACAGTTCAGAAGCAAATATTGTTCTTTTTACTACATTTATTTCACAACTCTTTTTTTAACTTGTGTAAATGTAACAGGTTACCAGGCAGTATATAGTTAAACAAAAAAGTAATTAATGCATCGGAACTCATATATGGGCCATTGTGTATAATGAGTACATTTTACATTTTAATATATTTTAAAGCTAAAACTTTTGTACTTTAATTTAGGTCCAATTGAATATGTAAATGCGGTACTTTTACTTGTAACAGAGTATATTTACACTGTTGTACTACTTATTTTACTTATCCTGTCTTTTAAGTATAATATGCACCTATGCATTATAACCTCAAAACTCACGACATCCCATCATCCTCAGCTACCTTTGTATTTAGTGCTACTCAGCAAATGTTAGCTAAAAAAGAAAGCAAATATGGAGAACACGTTAAACCGTATAACTTCCAAATGCTCGTGTTAGCATTTAGCTCACTCACCCTTTTTTGCTTTTCTGGTAAACTCTGGCCTTCTTGTCAATAGGTAGTGCGTATTTCTCTGAGATCTGAGAGACATTAAAAAACACTATGAGGCCCTACATGTTTATTACCATCTTAAAAAGAATTGTATTGATGATCTGGGGCAAAATGGATGTAGCTATGTTCCATTATTCAGACTAAAGCAGCAGAACAATATTTTGCTAATACTCACGGCCTCTGTCAGTGCGTTAAGGGTTGGGGAGCGCAGCATTAAGGCATCAAACACTTCATCACACTCCTTCCTCACGTACAGCAGGACTGGTAATGAGTAATGAATGGAGAAAGCATAATAACTTTTTCATTCAGACAAAAAAAAAAAAAAGGTATGAGACCAAAATCCTGTAATGAGAAAAGAGGGACATTTACACACCTCTCCTTTGCAGATCCACTTTGGGTTTCTTAGGCTGAGGCACACATATATCCTCCTCAGCAACACATGCCATTCTCTTCATGGGAGTACTAAACACACACACGGGCACGCACACGTTATTTGAGGCCTCATATGGACAATTGTAAACAATCCCAAATTCATGCAAATCCAAAAGATCTTCAAACCAGAAGTGTGAAAATAACAGTAGATATGATTCTTACCGATCTCTGTTCGCCTCTTCACTGTTAAAAGCGAACACCTGCAAATGGAGTTAAAGAGGAAATGTTCTGCTGATGTTCAGGTGTAAATCAGTATGTAGTGTCTCTACTTTAAAGAGTCCTCTCCAGCTGATTTGCAGGTGTATATCAGTATGTAACGTCTCTACTTTAAAGAGTCCTCTCCTGCTGATGTTCAGGTGTATATCAGTATGTAGTGTCTCTGCTTTAAAGAGTCCTCTCCTGCTGATGTCCAGGTGTATATCAGTATGTAGCGTCTCTACTTTAAAGAGTCCTCTCCTGCTGATGTTCAGGTGTATATCAGTATGTAGTGTCTCTACTTTAAAGAGTCCTCTCCTGCTGATGTTCAGGTGTATATCAGTATGTAGTGTCTCTGCTTTAAAGAGTCCAGTTCAAAAAGCTCTTTATTTATCTCATACACCTCTTTTCACCCTCTTTCTCCCAGTGTGCTCTGTCTGTCTGTCTGTCTGTCTGTCTGTCTGTCTGTCTGTCTGTCTGTGTGTGTACACTCTGTGACAAGTATTAGACAAGTGAGTATTTTGTCATGCAAATTGTCCAGCTCCAAGCTGTACGAACTTCAATTCATATTGGATTCAAGCATATCAGCTGATGTGTATTTGTGTAATGAGGGAGGGTGTGGTCTATGGAGGTCAACACTCAACACTCTATATCAAGGTGTGCAGAATTATACACACAGCTCCACTTCGACACCAACAAGTTGGAGGTGGGGATCTAGTATGAGCTGATATTATTAAAGATGAGCTAGTTGGACCTTTTCAGGTTGAAGATGGACTCAAAATCAACTCCTGAACCTACTGCCAGTTTTTAGAAGACACTTTCTTCCATCAGTGGAACAGGAAAAGGTCTGCATCTTTCAGGAAGACCATGATTTTATGAAGGATAATGCTCCATCGCATGCATCAAAGTACACTCCCCAGTAAAGGCCTTAAAGATGAAAGAAAGGTGACATGGCCCCCTTCCTCACCTGACCTAAACCCTTCCTCGCCTGACCTAAACCCTTCCTCGCCTGACCTAAACCCTTCCTCACCTGACTTAAACCCTTCCTTACCTGACCTTAACCCTTCCTCTCTGACTTAAACCCTTCCTCGCCTGACCTAGGGCGAGTAAACGTTATTCAGCTCGAGTTCAGGGCGTTCCGAGCTGAATAAGGCTGTCAAATTACGGCAAGAAGCCCCCCTGGCGGAAACATTGCTTGTGATTGTTATTGAAGAAAAGGGTGGCTGTATTTGTAAATGATTATTTATTTTTTAATCTCAGAAATGTTTATTTGTACATTTTGAGTTGTTAGTTTATTATTCTCACTTTAATGAACGGTAAAATAAACAAGTAAGATGGGAACATTTTAGTTTTTCCTTAAGCTGCATATTCATTCTGAACACCAATAGTGGCCCAATGACTGTGCAGACATACGGCTCTGGAAAAAAGAGACCACTCCGAATTTTTTTTAAATCAGCATCTCCAAATGTATGGCAGCCATTCCAGAAAAGTGTCTGTTGAATTCCAACACAAGCACACCTCATAATGAGGTACTGAATTAAAGAGGAAAAGTATAAAAAACACTGCTGTGGTCATCCCTATCCTCTTGCCATAGGATCAGCTGGATGGCAAAAACAGTAGTACTACCTCAAACGATTGACCATGCCTAAAGAGTTGAAAAGAAACGTTCTATTTCGTCCCTACTGACCGCCAGAGGCGGTGCTCTTAGCACTGGATATGTCCATCGCACGCATGCGCAGTTCGAGTACCAATAACAACAAAGTCACCTGTGACCCACGTGACTACGGCTACATAGGCCGGCGTCATTAGTGGATCGGTTCCTTTTCATCTTCTCGCTTAGCGAGAGTACCGTGGTTGCATTTTTGTAACCTAACGACGTTCCGTGTGGAAGCGTTGGATCTAAGGTTTCCACCGCTTACAGGGCCGGCTGAGTGCAGTTTTCGCGACTATTCCAGTGCGGGGCTAGCGGGTTACCCCCGTCCCCGCGCAGGAAGCTGTGGCCGGCTACGGCGAAAAACTTCGACGGACATGTTGGGTGTCGGCTTCGGTCGGTGATGGCATGTTTCGCTTCCCTCTCCGCCAGGCCAAGGCTGTCCGATTTCTGTCTTGCTTACTACTTGGCTTTTTAACTTTTTATGTCCCACGGCAGCGTTTCCGCTCCGCCTCTCCCAGGAGTTCGCCTTGCTGTGCTCAATTTGTATTCTGCTGACCTGTCGCGTAGTAAAACAAGCTATTATTAGCATTTTGGGTTCCAGCTTTAAGCCTGTGTTTCCTTGTTTAAATTAGTTAGGCAGTAGCATCGCTCAGGCCTGACCCGTTGCGCCCTGGCGCGCAGCGTTGGCTGACGCCGGGATTACCCGTGCTATTTTGTTTTACTATTTTGCTAATAACTTTTTTTCCCTTGGTGACTGGCAGGGCGGTTCCGGGCTCGCCCTCTCCCAGGAGTTTGCATGCTTGTTGTGCTATTTTGTCTGCGCGAGGCTATTATTCACCATTTTGAGTTAACAGCTTTAGCTCTGTTTCCTCGTTTAGCCTAGTTAGCGTCAGGCGGGGCGCAGCAGCAACCACCCGGCTAAGCCGTCATGTTGAGCTTCTTTTCCTTTTCTTGTTTTTCTTTTAGTTCAAGCTAGGTGAAAGGCTCGCTCGATCGCGCCCACGCTCCCTTTGCTGGTAACTTGGTGTAGGCACATTTACATCCACGTGTGTCGTCTTATGGCGAGTAGGACATTGGCTCTACTTCTCCCGTTCAGCGCCACGGCGCTCTCTCAGCTGGTGAAAGCGCGCTGTGTCCTCCCCGCACCCGCTCCCCGTTGCCTTGCATCCTGGCCACCTACATAAAATGGCTCATTCATGTAGTGCGCTGTATGGTTCCTCTTGAGCCCCGAGGACGGGCCATGACGCTGCCCCTCTTGCCTTGGTCCTCGAGCATCTTGAGGGAGGGTCTCAACGCAGAAACGCCTGCATGAACTGTAGCTGTGCATGCCTCGGGCAGGCTCAGAGTAGCTTGAGTTGCAGAGGTGGGAGCATTTCTGGCGGCAGCCAACGAACACCTCTCCTCGTCACATTCCCCCCAGAGCAGTTTTACGCCGTTCCCGGCGACGTGGGAACCGGCGGCTAGGGGGTCCCCAACAGGAGGCTAGAAATAGGCCTGTCCTATAAAAGGTGGACAATTAGCTTGCCGACCCTGGGCACGAATTGAAGAGCCTCCNTTCAAAAAGCTCTTTCCCTCACACTGCCTGAGCTGCAGCACCTCTTTTCACCCTCCGTCTGAAACCAGAGCTGCTCTGATTGGTTAGCTGGCCCGCTCTGTTGTGATTGGTCAACCTGCTTAGAGATGCCCCGCCCCTTTAGCCTTAATCACGTACAATGTGTTGGAGCGCTAGCCAATAGGAGCACGAGTGTTACGTAGTGATGTCACAATGTTTTGGAACTTTGTGATTTTAGTCTCTGCAAACCATTGACATGCACTTAAAAAAAAAAGTAAAGTGTCTTTGAGCATTAGGAAAATCACTTTAACATGCCATGTAGTATTATTATTATTACTATTATTATTATTATTATTATTATTATTATTGCCAAAAGGGCCTCTTTTAAAGTTCCTAAAGTTGTAAATTGTCTCTTTTTTAACGTCTCGATGTGTTTTCTGTCTTCCCTTCAGCTTCTGGCTCCTTCATCTATCCCCCTCTTCCTCCTGCTCCTCCTCTTCCTCCTCTTCCACCATGTTTCTCCACTTCCTGGCCCTGGTGTTCCTCCTGTCTCCGGGCAGCGAGGCTTTCTCCACCACCAGATCCCAGAGAGGCAGAATCCAGAGGGACCGCAGGAACATCCGGCCCAACATCATCCTCATCATCACCGACGACCAGGACGTGGAGCTGGGTAAGAGCCTCTCTGGTCCTCCTGTTTATTGGTGTTAGTTTAGTTTAGTTTATAGTTTAGTTCATAGTTCATCGTTTATAGTTTCTAGTGTCGTGGACAGTCCCCATTCATCAACTGTCACAAAACACAGTAAATGGGGCAGCTTTAGCCGACATTGCTAATGTCCAGCTCTATCTATCTATCCATCTCTCCATCCATCTCTCCATCCATCTATCCATCCATCTATCTCTCTATCTATCTATCTCTCTCTCTATCTATCTCTCTATCTCTCTATATCTCTATCTATCTCTCCATCCATCTCTCCATCCATCTCTCCATCCATCTCTCCATCTCTCTATCTATATATATATCCATCTATCTATCTATCTCTCCATCTCTCCATCCATCTATCTATCTATCTCTCCATCTCTCCATCCATCTATCTATCCATCTATCCATCCATCTATCTATCTTCTCTCATCTCTCTATCTTCTTCTCTCTCTCTATCTCTTTATCTATCCATCTATCCATCTATCCATCTATTTACCTATCTCTCTATCCATCTATCTATCTATCTATCTATCTATCTATCTCTCTCTCTCTCTCTCTCTCTCTCTCTCTCTATCTCTTTATCTATCCATCTATCCATCTATCCATCTATTTACCTATCTCTCTATCCATCTATCTATCCATCTATCTATCTCTCCATCTCTCCATCCATCTATCTATCTATCTATCTATCTCTCTCTCTCTCTCTCTCTATCTATCTCTCTATCAATCTATCTATCTATCTCTCCATCCATCTATCTCTCTACCACCTGGTCCTAATGAAGCTCTTTCTCTTCGTGGTCCTCCTCCTCACATTAAATATTAAACAGAGGCCATGAGCCGAGCAGAGCGGCCATCTGGTCGATTAACCGCTGAATCATAATGGAGGTCAGATTATGTAAATGCCATATCTTATTCATATAATGCAGATTTAATGTGTTGTAGTGTTTCCAGAGGTACAGGACAGAACAGGTACATTTGTTATATTTGATATAGCTTTAAAACAAAAAACACGCTGTACGCATAACACACTCTATATGCAACTAAACACACATTAAGAGTTCATTACCTTATTTCATTAGGTATGTTGTGCATCATTTGTGTGTGTCTTTTGCATGAAAAAAGGCGTATACAAATGCAGAATATTAATAGATAAAATGTTTTTTTCTAACCTAT